ATAAAGGACCCACGCTGGTCCTTCTGATGTGAGAAATTTTAAGCCATGACTGAAAAGTGGCCCATGTCACCTTCCAGTGGGGCAGTTACTTAAAGACCCGAGAAACAACAGAGGAAAAGCCATTGTCACTGAGTGTGGCTGCCCCGGTTTCAGATGGGGCCAGTGAGACGTGTCCCCAGTCACCCCACCCTCCGCTGTCTTAGCTGAGGCAGCAGAGACATGTCTGCATCTGTTTGCGCTTCCTGACAGCAGAGCGTGGCTTCTGCCCAGGGCCCCCGTGTCTGACGCTTGGGGATTTGGCAAAAGCTCTCACTGGGGGAGTCCCAGGAAGGAGGTGGTGGAAACCAGACCCTTCTCCAAGCCTCCAAGCAGCGCTTTTAAACACAGGTCTGCCCAGGTTCCGAGGTGGGCACTGCATCTGGTTGACTCCCCCGGAGACCTGTGAGTGTCTGTTCCCTGTCCGGTGCTGCCCTGCTTTGTTGGGTGACACGATCCCCTTCTGGTCACCAGAATGCATGGTGGTAGCAATAAAACAGGATAAACAGGACTTCGAAGGGCTCTGCTTGGGGACCATTCACTCGTCAGCACATCCTTCAATTAAGCATATACTCTGTGCTTAACCATCGTAGGTAAAGGCAGAGCTCACCTGTGCGGGAAAGGTAGTGTGAGGATAAGAAGTCTGATAACCAAGTAAATCATCCCAAGTGAGCAACATATGGAGAGGGAGAGATCCAGGGCGGGATGGGTAACGGGGGCATCAGGGAGGTGCTCTGAGCTAGTGATTGTTGACTTGAGGCCTGAAGGAAAAGGAGGACTCAGGAGTGGGAAAGAGGTTTGGAGGTACAAGAGGTGCCAAGGCCCTGAGACAGACAACCCTTGGTAATTTCAAGAACTGAAGCAGCTCAGCGGGGCTGAAGCACACGGTGGGTGCGAAGGACACGGGGGTGCTGGCTGGGAGCCAGACAACCACGTATCAGGAAGGATTTGTCTTTTTGTGTCACAGAGGGCTGAATGAAGATCCCTCCAGCATATCATTGGGTCCATCCAGCTCACTGCTTCACCATCCTTAGGTGGCTCTTGTCCTTAGCTGCACAAGATGGCTGTTGAAGCTCCAGCCGTCATATCTACATTCCAGGCAGGAATAAGGAGAAGGGCAAAGGCAAGAGGGACAAGCAGTCCAATGTGACCTGCACGAGAATCTTCACTTATTAGCCAGCCTGTGTCACGTGGTAACCCTTAACACATCCAGGGAATGAGGTTTTTTAGCCGGCTACATTGCTGCTTGCTAGAGGTCCGATGTTCTGTTAACAAAGAAGAGGAGGGAGTAGACATTGGATAGGCATGTCCAGAGTCTGCCCTACAGGGCCTTGTAGGTCATGGTAAGGAGCGTGGCCTTCATTCTGATACAGCTGGGGAGCCATAGAATGTTCTAGGCAGAGCGATAACATGGAAGGGGGAGACAACTCAGGGTTGCCCTACTTGAGCCACAGCAACATATATCTTTGGGCATCAGTTTCCTAGAAATGCTGTAACACATTACCACAAACTTCATGGTTTAAGGCAACAGAAATCTATTCTGTCACAGTTTAGGATGCTGGGAGTCTGAAATCATAGTGTCAGAGGGGCCATGCTCCCTCTGAAGACTGGAGGGGAGAGCCCTGCCTTACCTACTCCTAGCCTCTGGGCTCCTGGCTCTCCTCTGTGTTCCTTGGCTCGTCAGCTACATCAACCCAATCTCTGCCTCTCATTACATGGCCTTCTTCCCTGTTTCTCTGTGTGTCTGTATACAAATCTCTCTCTCTTTTACAAGGACACCCACCCTAATCCAGTCGGACATCATCTTTTTTTTTTTAAGTTTATTTATTTATTTAGAGGGCACGAGCAAGGGAGGGGCAGAAAGAGAGAGGGAGAGAGAGAATCCCAAGCAGACTCTGTACTGTCAGCGTGGAGCCCTATGTGGGGCTCGAACCCACGAACTGTGAGACATGACCTGAGCCGAAACCAAGAGTTGGACAATCCACCGACTGAGCCACCCAGATGTCCCCCAGTCTGATCTCATCTTAACTTCATTATGTTTGCAAAGATTCTACTTCCAAATAAGGTCTTATTCCTAGGTTACCAGGGGTTGGGACTTGAATATACCATTATGTTGTAGGTCACAAGCCTGGAGGGCATGCAAAGGGACTAATGTGCCATCCAGACACTGCTTCGCTCACTTGGGCCACTCATCTCCCTCTTACCCGTAAAGACAGCCCCGGAATTAGGGAGCTGGGTTTATTTCCAAAATTTTGACCCAGTGCCAGGCACAAGGCAAAAGGAAGGGGTCTGGGCTCCTGGCACAGGGATGCCCCCACCTTAGTAAACATGTCTCCAGCACTGAGGATGTAAGGATCTTCAGTCGTGGGTGCAGAGACAGCTTCACCTGCCTGTCAGTGGTTATAGTTTGGGGTGGAGGGAGCAGACATTTAAATGATGGGCTGAATGGTATTATCTAAACTTGAATTTCTTTCTTCCAGCAGGCAAACCTTTAGGCAAACTGATGCCCTTTAAGAAACCACTTTCTTGTCTGCACTAAGTGGAGGGAAATGCAGGCTGGAGGCATAGCTGTGTCAGGTGGTCATAGCTGACCCTAAACTGGCTTCAGAGTTGGGATCCTTCAGACCGTCCAGTGTAGTGTTATTCAGGTCCCCCTCCCTTTTTGCTTTGAGGTGGAGTAAAAACTGCTCACATGTGAGTCCCAGGAAGCAGGCTGGAGGCCATTGAACTCGTCTTCTGGGTACATCTCTGCATAAGTTGCTGTGCTTAGAGCTTTGCTTTTTGGCAGGTGATTTTTGGCTGCTGTTGTTGTTTTCTGGGGTTTTTTTTGTTTGTTTGGTTTTTTGGTGTCTTTTTTTTGTTTGTTTTTTGTTTTTTGTTTTTTGTTTTTTCTTGGTCATGATGGGAATCCTCATTAGAGATAAGTGGAGCTAGAAGAGATGAAGATGCAGGAGGAAAAGATGTGGCTTCTGATCTCCTGGGGAGTGGGTGTAAGAAGCAGAAACGGAAGGAGCTGCTTTCCGAAGGGAGGCTGTGAGTTCTGGGCCTCAACACTGTTGCTTCAGTGCCCACAGGCAGAGCTAGGATGCTGCGCTTCCTCCTCTGGACACCCTCTGGGTTCCCAGGGTCGATCACTGGCAGCAGTGGGGGGTAGCCTCACTGCGTGAGCACTTGCCCTTACCCCAGGGCTAGGGGCATCAGGGTGTGCCCCTCAGATGGTCTCATGAATAACACCAGAAATCCAACAAGGCTGAGTCCATGCGACTCATGCATAGCACACCTGAGTCGCCTCCTGAGAACTCCCTTGGAGCCGTGGATGGCGGCGGCTATTTGCAAAGGATGGATGTCCTCACTGGGCAAGGAGGGGGAGAGGATCAATGAGAAGGTGATGGTTTAAGCCGAGCATTGAAGAAGTGGGAATCTGCCAGGGAGAGAACTCAAGGAAGGCTGCTCCAAGCAGGAGGGTGGGCATGTGCAAAGGCGTGAGTGACCACTGGTGGCCTGAGACTGTCAGGGGGATCTGATCTGGAGAGCGGGCACACAAGGATGCACTGGGGATGAGAGGAGGCAAGTGCAGCGGCGCTAGAGAAAGTGGAGGTGCCTCTGATGAGACCCCACATGTCAGGCCGAGGTTTGGGTTTTGTCTGGAGGACGGTGGGAGCCCCAGATGGCTTGTGGGCAGAGTGAGGTGGCCTCGCACGTGTTTTATATTTGTTTGACAGCCATACTGAGGGTGGGTGGGTGGGTGGGGCAGGCTGGAGGCTGGGGGGAAGGAACCAGCCTTCCTTCTGGCCCCCTCCCTGCCACACCATGTTGCTTCCGCTCGTCTTCCCCCCACCCTGCCCTGACCCCAGGTCCCCAGAGCATGTCACTTGTCAGAAGAGCAGAGTCTGCGTCTTGGCGGGTGGAGAGAACAGGCATCCCTCTGTCCCTGCTCATGCTGGGCCTGGGGGCAAGGGCTGGCTGGACAGCTGGCAGGTTGGCAGGGAGAACGTGGTCTGCTCTGCTGTGCCTGCAGCCGCTGCCACTGGGCAGTCTGATTAATGACCCGCCGCGTCCAGGGCTCCTCACGGGTCAGCAGCGCCGTCTCTGCGGAGCAGCCTAGTGAACCGGCCTGTTCTGCCTTCTCCTCCCCTCTGGCTGGTGCCCCCAGACGGGCGAGATGCCATGACATGGCCTCCTCCCCTGGCCCTGACACCCGTTCTGCTAACTATTTCCCGTCCTCTTAAAAGTCCTGGCCCTAAATGCCCCTGTGCAGAAGGGGCTTTACAGATTGAACTCCCAGCCTGCTGTGTTCTGGTTTGTTCTTTGTCTTACCCGCCTCGGGCGCATAGCAGAGGTTAAACATATGTCTTGAAGGGACCATTGCCCCTTCGCCACCCTTTCTCTCTCTGCTTGAGGGTCTGTGTCTGTGTGTTGCATTTGCATAAGTACCACCTCCTCCATCAGACTAGCAACTGCCCAAGATCAAGGGGCTGCCTCCAGCTTTAGGCTGGTGGCTTCTAAGATCTAGGTTTTTTTTTTCTTTTCCCTTAAGCAGGGTAATGCCAGGGCAAGGACCGGGTCTCCCCTTCAGTCTGGGGGCTCCCCAAAGACGAGCTCTGTTTGGGGCTGCCCTGTCTGTCTCTCCCTCATGCCTCAGGCTGAGCTCTGCCTGCAGGTACTCAGGGGCCGCAGGGAAAGCCCCATGGCCTGTCTGGGAACGGCAGGGCTGAGCGTGGGTACAGCAGGTGTGACGTTGGCTGGGGCCAGAGCTGTTGGGGCACGGCCAGGGGCTTGGTACTGAGCTGTCGTCTGGGACCAAGGGGAGCCCAGGACATCCAGGCCTACACGAGCCTTCGAGGCCACAGGTCCAGTATCGGGGAGGGCTGTGACTTTGCATATGTGGTGGGAGAGGAGCAGAGGGCGGCTCCCGGCCACCTGCTTCTCATACGTCCTGTGGGCTCTGTCTTGGGTGGCGACAGGAGGACAACCACAGCTACTACGTGTCCCGTCTGTACGGCCCCAGCGAGCCCCGTAGCCGGGAGCTGTGGGTGGACGTGGCCAAGGCCAACCAGAGCCAAGTGAAGGTCCACAGAATCCTCTCCAACACCCACCGGCAGGCTTCAGTGAGTATGCCCGTTCCTGGCGGCGCCGCGGGCTGGGAGGCTGGGGGCCAACCCTTTGTGCCTGCTCAGTGGGCATGGTTGTGACCTGAGGTCCGTGATCTGGGAGATGCTTTCCAGGGAACCATGGGGCGGGGTGGCTATCCAGAGTTAAGGTGGCCACTTCTGGTCCTGGGGGCTTGCCCTAGACATTCCTGCCCCCTACCTTGTCCAGACGAGTATGGGACAGTGTGGGCCCCCAGCCTCCTGGCCAACAGCATGGCCCATGTTGACTCTCTCCCATGCCCTGCAGAGAGTGGTCTTGTCCTTTGATTTTCCTTTCTACGGGCATCCTCTGCGGCAGATCACCATAGCAACCGGAGGTAAGGCTGTGTCGGTGGGATGGGGGGAGGTTTGGAGATCTCAGCCAGAACACGAGGGACCTGCCTGGGAAGGTTTATTGGAGACAAGAGTGTATATAGATAGACTGGGAAGGGTACGGCGTTGGACTCTCTTGGGACCTCTCTCTCAGGAAGAACAGTGTGTGTGTGTGTGTGTGTGTGTGTGTGTGTGTGTGTGTTTATGTGTGTGTGTCCTTCTGGGCCAGCTCAGGCCAGCATGGGTAATCCCTGTGGTCCCTGAGAGTTTCTGAGTCTGTGAATGAGAGAGAGGGGGAGACTTCACTGAGAACCTGGTTCTTGGGATCGGACTTCTTGTCGAGCTGAAGAGCCCGTCTTTGATTCCTGTGCACTCTCCCAGGGACAGGGAGAGGTGGGAGTTTTGTGCCCACCTGGAGAGGCAGGGAGAACCTTCTCTGGTTCTTACACACGCAGAGCCCAGCAGGTGGGGGGTGGGGACAGAGGTCCAAGATTCTCGTCCAGCTCCATCTGCACTGTTCCTTCCTGCACAAGGAAGCAAGCCCTCCAGGCTTCTCTAGCGATTCCTCTGCATTTGTCCGCACCCCAGGCTTCATCTTCATGGGTGACACGATCCACCGAATGCTCACGGCTACTCAGTACGTGGCGCCCCTGATGGCCAACTTCAACCCTGGCTACTCTGACAATTCGACAGTCGCTTACTTTGACAATGGTGAGACCAGATCTCAGAGTTTAAGTCCCCTGGTTCCAGGGCACACTTGGTCCAGCCCCTTTAGCAAAGCCCAGAGTCCGGAGAGGACAAGGGACTTGCCCACGGTCCCACGGCAAGGCAGCCACCCCACTTCCCCGTGTTGAATTTCCTCATCTGCAAGGACAAGATACCTGAGACCTAGCAGGATCTGATGCGATAAGAAAAGAAAAGTGCTTGGCTCTTAGCAGAGACGACAAATATCAGAGAGCTTTATTGTTTCTTACTCTCACCAGACTGTCCCTTGAGCACCCAACCACCCTCAGACCTACTCTGGCCACCGAATCTGCGGGCCCCCCTCCCTGCGCTGGCTTCCAGTCCAGCCAGGTCTCTGCTCTCCTCCTCAGGGACGGTCTTTATTGTTCAGTGGGACCACGTCTACCTCCAAGGCCGGGAAGACCGAGGCAGCTTCACTTTCCAGGCGGCTCTGCACCACGACGGCCGCATTGTATTTGGCTACAAGGAGGTGAGTGAGCTTAGCTGCAGAGTGGCTGGGGCTTGGAGTCTTTCGTTCAGCAGATATCTGTGGAGAGCCTGCGGGGTGCCAGGCGTAGGCCTCGGTGCTGGGCAGGCAGCAGCTAATGAGATGGCCGGAGGCCCTGCCCTTGTAGAGCTAAAGTCCAGTTGGGGAGAGCGACAGTAATTGCAGGGACAAATGTAGAATCGCCTCTGTGACAAGTGTTCCTAAGACTAGGTGCCTGGTGCCTTCTTCCTTCCTTCCTTCCTTCCTTCCTTCCTTCCTTCCTTCCTTCCTTCCTCCCTCCCCCCCTCCCTCCCTCCTTTCTTTCTTTCTTTCTTTCTTTCTTTCTTTCTTTCTTTCTTTCTTTCTTTCTTTCTTTCTTTCTTTCTCTCTTTCTCTCTTTCTCTCTTTCTCTCTTTCTCTCTTTCTCTCTTTCTCTCTTTCT